CTACACCGTGCTATAATTCGCACTGTCAATTGGGTCACTGATGGGAGTAGGCATTCGTTTGCCTGTTTCTCAAAGAAAGTATTTTACTCACTTGAGATAATTGCCCCAGCTCTGCTCTCTTCCATTTGCTGTTTGATTCATGAACATTCACGTGGCTTTGAATCAATCAAACCAAAGCTCAGCGCACCGCTCAGGAGATCTCTCGTGCCCAAACTTCCCCAATAATTTCAGTGGATGGAGATCATCCTTGCGCACAAAAACATAGCCAGTCTGTTCTGGAGGAAAGTCCTGGCTCTGCGTTGCCTGGTTCTGATCTAACAGACCACCAACTTTGGTGGAAAGCACAGCTCCAATTATTGGCACAGGGAACTTGGATGTAAATCTGCCACCTGGTGCGCCCAATTGACTCTAACCTGACAATTTCATTTTCCACTGGAAGTAGATATCTACATCTGAAGTTAAAACAGGCATACCCCAAACAGGAGTTGCAACACAGACTGTAAGCCTGGCTTCACACTGTGTTCACAATACCAGGGACAGATGTAACAAACAAAGCAAACGCTGAGTCAGTTCACGGCCATGTGCGCCTTTTCAAAAGAGTGCAGTATTTGTTCAGGTGAACATTGGTTTGTTGCCTGCATTAAAACACACACATGCAACAGTCCATTTTTTGAAGATATGGGGGGAAAGATGCTTCGAAGAGGGAGCAAGAAGTGGTCTTGTGGCATCATAGGGAGTTAAACAACCAGGGCTGTGCATAGCTGCCTCAGAACTCGATTTTTAAGATAAGGTTGTACATTTGGGGGTGGGCAAATGCGCTGAGGATATTTTTACAGCAGGCTCACCACTCAGATTTTATCTGAGCCTTATGTTGACCCTTCTAATTCTCCACTGGGAAAATGGCGCAAAGAAGGAAATCAAGGTGAGCCTTTGCACTGATGAATTCTGCTTCCACAGAAATCATTGTCATACAAAATCTGACCACTTGTGTTCTTTCTTTTTTGCTCTAGCAGAGGGTGGGCAATATTTTTAAAGAGGCTACATACACTTCCTTTGGCATGGCTCTCTATTTCACCCACAGGAGATGAATGTTGATCGCAAACTTTAATGTTGGTTTTTTCATGCATATTTTTCTCATATTCTCGAACATCCTCCATAGTCATATCTGAAAAAAGTTCAAGATGTTGGGTTGTTTTCTCTATTAATTCAATCCAGGCTTGAATGAAAGGGAAGAGTCTAGGGAGAATTATCTTTCTAGCAAAAGCCAAAGAGCAGAAGCCGGCTAGCTTTATGAGGATTCATAATAAAGATTGTTAAGTTAAACCAGCCAAGGAAGGTATAAGAAGGTTGAGTTAAGGGATAATTGCAGAATGAGGGTGCTTGGAAGCTGGGATGTTTCTGTCAAGTGAGGTTGGCAGGAAGGTGTGGGGTGCAGGCTTTGCTAGAGGCAAACATCTTCTAAAATAAATTTAGAAGATTTCCTGGAAAAAAGAGGAAGGATTAAGGAACAGCACGAGAGTTTACTTACCTTGTCAGAGACATGCCAGGAAAACTCTACATTATGTATAATGACACACCATTTACCAAAAAAAAAAGTAGCTTCATTGTTTTAACACTACACAGCTCAGCTTTGAGAGATTATGTGTTTTTGGATTTCGACAATTTGTATAGTGTCTAATCATAGCCAACCCTACGCAGTGTAGTGAAGGACTGCAGAAAGTACCTATGAATAGTGAAAGGATTCAAACACTTTTGAAAGGTAAATCCAAATAAACATTTGCTTTGTAGAGCTACCCAAGAAAGTGATACGCAAACCGGATCCACTAGGACGTGTGTATACTTCAGGCATTTCAAAGTTTTGCAGGAGCTCCACTGTGAAGTGGCTACCTTCACAGATTTTACATTATACTACAGGGGTAAGCAGACTTCAGCCTTGTTGGATCTACTTTGTAATTTTATTAGATACCCCCCCCCCAACAAAATATCTGCCAATGACACCCAGCAGCAAAGGACTCACAGTTAGATTTTTTGAAGGGGGTGATTGTGAGCACACTCTGAGCCCTGGAATTGGATTTCAGTACCAGAAATGAACTGAACTCACAGTACTTTCATACAAATACTCCTGATCAGCTTTGTTCATTTCAGTGGCCTACTTCAGGTGACAAAATTCATTTTGGTGTTTCTATTTTTTTTTTAATAAAAAAATGGGTGTAAGAAACCATTGCTGATGTAGTGCCAATTAATCAGAGATCTACAGTGTAGAATGTAGTCCTAACAATACGTTGTATCACCACTGGCATGAGTCATGGATTATCATATTTTAATATTAGTGTACTTAGAATGAAGGAGCATTAAAGCGTTGATCAAAGAAGCTTATAAGCAATGAAAATGGCACGATCAAAAGCACTTTAGCCGGGCAAAGTACATGCTCTTCATTAGCAGCACTTCAGTTAATAATGAAATACTGTTGTCTTATAGCAATGTTAATTGCATATTAAGATGAAACCCTAAGCTTATTTATCTGGAAGTAAAAACCATTGAAATAATGAAAATACTTCCAAATGAACAAGTTTAGGATTGAGGTTTAGAGGGCAGTGCAACAACAAAATCCACATTTTTAGAATAAGCAAAATCCCAATGCATTGGCCCACTGAATGCTTGATACAATCGACTGATATACACCTTATAAATATCTAGCTTTAAACATATAAGAAATATTGAGCTATGGTGACCAATTAATCGTTACTTGAAAGGAAGCTTTCCTTTATTTTACTTCTGCAGCAAAATTTTAAAAAGCCCAAGCATTTAAAACATGCCAATTATTTAAAATAATTTGCCATTATCCTGCACCAACAGTTTGGGCACAGGTTTGCTGGAGAAGTTATTATTATTATTAAAATTTGTATACTGCCCTTCATCTGAAGATCACACAACATAAAAATACAAAATGAATACAACAGAAGGCTATTCACTCACTGCCGTGCCCCTGGTTCCAAAAGGATGTGTATATTTTATTTTATTTTGGAGGGGCAACGTCCCCCTTATGCCAGGATGCCACTAGTATCCTATTCTGCTTCAGCAGCATGCTGTACAAAGTTTATGAAGAGAAGGGAAACCTATGAAAAATAAATGTTTGGGGGCATGCTTTGAGAGTGAATGTGCAATAAAATGGACATAAAGTGGCATGATGTTGCTGCAGGAAGTGGGTGGCTTTGCACTACATATCACAGTGCTTCTGTGGATAAGAACTTATTCGTGAATTAAAGTTATGTTTTCGTCCATGAAAGCTGTTCTAGACCTTCCTGAGCGTTATTCAATAGATGCAGACAGGCAAACCACATCTATCGCAGTGGCTCTGGGATTTTTTCTGGGGGGTCTGGTTTCATCTGCATGAAGCACTATAAAAACTTAGAAACTGAGTTTATCTACTGTGGGTGATGACTACAACACTGTCCCAAGTGCCTAAAAATCTGTCAGGTGTGCACAAAGCTGTGAGAAAGGGTTGACAAAATCCCCTTACAGTGCCAATCTAATATTAGGTGCAGGGCCAAGAGAGTGCCTGAATTCAGGTTAACTGCACCATTCCTCAACCCATTTTCCTAAGAATTGATCCTGCATAGCAGTTCCTTCTCGCAGTGTTACTCTCACATTGAATGCCTGTGCAGATGCTAACTTGTAGAACTGTACCAATGAATGCTTCACCTAAACCTGTAGAATAATTTTGTTTTCCTTTCTGAAAACATTAACGTTATATTCATAATGAAAACATTATTATTGTATTAATAACATAGTGACATATGGAAAATGAAGCAAGCTGAAATACCTGAAATCCCTTACGTTGGGAAACAGTTTTACATAGCTCAGATGGAACGGTGGGACAACATGGTTTAAAATAATTGTTTAGAAACAGGGAGCTGCAGAATTAACTTGATTTGTTGTTTTTTTCTCCATAGAGGAAATGTTCTCCAGGCATAGGATGGACAGTTAGGGTTGGACAGTTAGGGTTGGACTAGTTCTAATAACCCTTCACCTTTCTATCTTTGTGTTAATTACCCGAAGAAGGCTGACAGCACTAATCCTCCTTCTGACACTTACTTTTCCTTTGATCAAGTCACCTAATCATTCCTGTTCACTTTTCCATCTGTAAAATGCAGATAATAATCCTTATTTCACAAACTGCTAGGGTGATTAACGTGTGAACTGTGCTTTGAAGATTGAACTTGTTAAGCTCTATTGTCGTCCAAGCCCCTTCTAGATATTTGCAGTAGTTTGGGGGGTGATTCAGTTGTATACTTATCTTTCCGTAGCTTACTTGCCATTTTTTATTTTTAACCAAAACTCTGTAGGCTTACTTGCATTTCATTGGGTAAACCTGAAAATGAAGGCCTTAGGACAGCTTTACACAAGACTATCACCCAAAATGAATATACACATAATGTATATACACATTAGCAGGTGACAAATGCATATCATGAGTGATATCCAATATTAGTTGCATTTGGGGTAGATTCCTTAAAATTAATGAACTTAAGTAACTTTTAAGCCTATTCACATAATGGCAACGTATCTCTATTTCCTTATGTATGAATGCTTTTAAATAATACGGAACACACATTGCTGCAAAATTGTAACCACAACTGTCAATTCTGTATACAATCAAAGTAACAAAAAGTGGCTGGATTAGAACCACACTCTTTAAATTTTAAAGAGCATGCCCTGGTCCCTTAAACACATTGGCTATGAAGGATACATTCTGTGTGAGCTCTGTATAAGGCTGCAATCCCATACGCATCTACCTGGGAATAAGCCCCACTGAACTCAGTGAAATTTACATCTCACTAGACGTGTATAAGATTGCACCGAAAGAAATGCAAAATCTGTCCTTTGTGATGGCTGCCTTAACAAGACTACCAGAGCAGAAAAAAAGCATTGCATGCAGTTAATAAGGCCTTAGATAATCCATTTGCCCATGTGAGTTTATTTTTGAAAACATGACTTACCATACCACTCATCCACCCATGTAAAAGCCTGTCGGTGGCCAATCAGCAATATATCTCTGACCACCTGTAAATCAGAACAAGGGTTAAAGACATCTCTGACAACAAACAAACAAACAAACAAACAAACAAACAAACAAACAAACAAACAAACAAACAGGTATTGCATCATACCAGAGGTATGCACTAGATTGGAGGTGGGGAACATTTGGCTCTCTAGATATTGCTGGCCTGCTACCCACTTCACCCCTGAACATTGACATTGATGGCAGAGCTGATGTGAGTTGGAGTCCAACAACGTCTGGAGGGCCGCAGGTACCCCCCCCCAACATGTTATGCTGCTGCTGAAAGAACTGCACTGGGTTCAATGACCTCTCGAGCTAAATTCAAGTTACTGTTTCTGGTGAATACAGTTTGGGACCAGGCTAAGTAAAAGAACCGACCACCCCTTATACACCCATTGATCACTGTGCTCTGCAGGAGAGGAACACCTGCATATATCATCTTGTTAGATCTGTTCTGTACAATATAGGAATTTGCCTTTCAGCGTGGCAGCACCTACCTTTTGAAACTCCCTCCCATTACACATCAGATAGTCTCCTTTGCCTTACTGATGCCTACTGAAGACCTTCCTTTTTCAACAAGCCTTTTAAAATGAGAATCTTTTATCCCAGTCTTTATCTATCTTGGAATGAAGTTAACAATCAAAACAATTAAAGGGGATTACATATAGGCAATGACCATCTAGTGTGTGTCCAACTGGCGCACGGCCACTGACACACGGGTCCTTTTGGACCTGGAAGAGGGCAGAATGGTGGCCGGGAGCGGAACCCCCATGTAAAATGGTCACCACCCATTAATGCAAACATTTCCACATATCAAAACAATATTATGCTAAAAATAATTATTTTACTGTAAAATCACTTCAATATATTTTATGGGAAGTGATGTTATAAATTGATAACTTAATGCATAAAATAGATCTAACCCCATCCAAATGGAGCCTCCATGCCAATCTAAACATAATGACACATAAAAAAAATATGGTTTCCCCGTTTCCCAAATATAAGCAGAAAAGTCACTGCTAATTTTGTAATGTCACCTTGCCAACAAAGGTCCGTATAGTTAAAGCTATGGTTTTCCCAGTAGTGATGTATGGAAGTGAGAGCTGGACCATAAAGAAGGCTGATTGCCGAAGAATTGATGCTATTGAATTATGGTGTTGGAGGAGACTCTTGAGAGTCCCATGGACTGCAAGAAGATCAAATCTCTCCATTCTTAAGGAAATCAGCCCTGAGTGCTCACTGGAAGGACAGATCCTGAAGCTGAGGCTCCAGTACTTTGGCCACCTCATGAGAAGAGAAGACTCCCTGGAAAAGACCCTGATGTTGGGAAAGATGGAGGGCACAAGGAGAAGGGGACGACAGAGGACAAGATGGTTGGACAGTGTTCTCAAAGCTACCAGCATGACTTTGACCAAACTGCGGGAGGCAGTGGAAGACAGGAGTGTCTGGCGTGCTCTGGTCCATGGGGTCACGAAGAGTTGGACACGACTAAACGACTAAACAACAACAATTTTGTAATGCCCATTCGTTGAAAGGTGCACATACAAACAATGCAACGAAAACTGTGCCAGGCAGCAGAAACACCAGTCAGACAGATTTGTGATGATACAGGTAGGAAGAGGTGCAACAAATACTCAGATTTTCAGCAGCTGGGCTAATGATATGCACATGGCTTTCATTTTAAAACTGATTATGTCCATTCCATATACAGTGGTACCCCGCAAGACGAACGCCTCGCAAGACGGAAAACCCGCTAGACGAAAGGGTTTTCCGTTTTGGAGGCGCTTCGCAAAACGAATTTCCCTATGGGCTTGCTTCGCAAGACGAAAGCCCATAGGGAAATCTCCGGGACAGCGGGGAAGCGCAGCGCGTCTTCCCCACTGTCCTCGGACCTCCTCCGAAGCCTGGCGGCGGGGCGGAGAGACCTCTTCCCGCCGCCAGGCTTCGGAAGGATGCTCCGAAGCTAAAGAAGCTAAAGCAGCCTGCCGCGACCCTCTCCCGGCTGGAGAGGTGACACGCGCCTATGGCAGGAGCCTCCATAGCCGAGCGTCACCTCTCCAGCCGGGAGAGCGCGCGCGGGGCTAAAGCAGCCCCCCGCGACCCTCTCCCAGGTGACGCGCGCCTATGGCAGGAGCCTCCATAGCCGAGCGTCACCTCTCCAGCCGGGAGAGCGCACGCGGGGCTAAAACAGCCCCCCGCGACCCTCTCCCAGGTGATGCGGGCCTATGGCAGGAGCCTCCATAGGCGCGCGTCACCTATCCAGCCGGGAGAGCGCGCGCAGGGCTAAAGCAGCCCCCCGCGACCCTCTCCCAGGTGACGCGCGCCTATGTCAGGAGCCTCCATAGCCGAGCGTCACCTCTCCAACCGGGAGAGCGCGCGCGGGGCTAAAGAAACCCCCCGCGACCCTCTCCCGGCTGGAGATGTGACGCGCGCCTATGGCAGGAACCTCCATAGGCGCCCGTCACCTCTCCAGCCGGGAGAGCGCGCGGGGGGCTAAACCAGCCCCCCGCGACCCTCTCCCGGCTGGAGAAGTGACGCGCGCCTATGGCAGGAGCCTCCATAGGCGCCCGTCACCTCTCCAGCCGGGAGAGCGCGCACGGGGCTAAACCAGCCCCCCGCGACCCTCTCCCAGCTGGAGAAGTGACGCGCGCCTATGGCAGGAACCTCCATAGGCGCCCGTCACCTCTCCAGCCGGGAGAGCGCGCGCGGGGCTAAACCAGCCCCCCGCGACCCTCTCCCAGGTGACGCACGCCTATGGCAGGAGCCTCCATAGCCGAGCGTCACCTCTCCAGCTGGGAGAGCGCACGCGTGGGGCTAAAGCAGCCCCCCGCGACCCTCTCCCAGGTGACGCGCGCCTATGGCAGGAGCCTCCATAGGTGCGCGTCACCTCTCCAACCGGGAGAGCGCGCGCGGGGCTAAAGAAACCCCCCGCGACCCTCTCCCGGCTGGAGATGTGACGTGCGCCTATGGCAGGAACCTCCATAGGCGCCCGTCACCTCTCCAGCCGGGAGAGCGCGCGCGGGGCTAAACCAGCCCCCCGCGACCCTCTCCCGGCTGGAGAAGTGACGCGCGCCTATGGCAGGAGCCTCCATAGGCGCCCGTCACCTCTCCAGCCGGGAGAGCGCGCGCGGGGCTAAAGCAGCCCCCCGCGACCCTCTCCCAGGTGACGCGCGCCTATGGCAGGAGCCTCCATAGCCGAGCGTCACCTCTCCAGCCGGGAGAGCGCGCGCGGGGCTAAAGAAGCCATAGCCCCGCGACCCTCTCCCAGCTGGAGAAGTGACGCGTGACTATGGCAGCAGCCTCTGAAGGATGCACCGAAGCCTGGCGTGGGGGGGGGGCGGAGAGACCTTCTCCCCGCGCCAGCCTTCGGATGGCTGTCCTGAAGACTTGGGGTGGGAGAAGGGTTTTCCTTCCCACCGCCAACATTCAGAATGCTGTTCTGAATGTTGGCGGTGGGGAGGAAAAACCCTCCTCCCACGCAAGCCCCGGGAACAGAGGGAAAGCGCTGCGCGCCTTCCCCTCTGTTCCCGTACCTGTGCTGAAGGCTTGCGGTGGGGAGAAAAGCCCTTCTCCGCACCGCCAGCCTGGCAAGCGGTTTCCCTAGGAACGCATTAATTGATTTTCAATGCATTCCTATGGGAAACCGTGCTTCGCAAGACGAAAAACTCGCAAGAAGAAAAAACTTGCGGAACGAATTAATTTCGTCTTGCGAGGCACCACTGTATGAAAGGCCAGTGCCCTTCAAAAATTATATCCTATCCCAAGTGTTGTGCATTTCCCAGGGGAAAGAAAAGTAGAACAACCTGTACCTTAGGGAAACAGAATTACAGTGTGCACCATAAAGAGATGATTTACTAAACTTTTCTATCTGTAGCAAAATGATCCCACCAAGCAAGTACAAAGGAGAAACAGCACAGAGAGAATACCTATTGGGGAGTTATTTCCCCTTTTGTCATGCACAGATAGGAGAGACTCTGCAGTTAAACTCTTGATACACTATCTATTTATTTTATTTAAGTTTCACACAAACTGTTTTAAATACTACAACAAATTTACAAAATAAAGGACACTGAAATGTATAACTTCTTCACCTATTTCTAAGTTGTATTCTGCAGTTTTGATCCATGCAGAGAGTAGTGAGGACACTGAAAAACATTCAGACTCAGTTCTGAATTCTGGGCCTGAAGGGCAAAAAGACTAGCATCAAGGATATAAAGCTTGAGGCAGAAATCAACCCAGTGTGGTTTAGTGGTTAGAATGTGGTGCCTTCCAGACGGTGTCAGATTACATTCCCATCATCACTGACCATTGGTAATGCTGGCTAAGGATTCTGGAAGTTGGAGTCCAATAAAATCTGGAGGCCACCATGTTGGCTAAACCTGGGTTAGAAAGGTTTAATTCAGGGGGAATTCAGGATCAAATTTCTACCCAGCCATAAAGCTCACTGGGTGACCTTGGGCCTGTCAGTATTTCTCTACCTAACCTACTTCACAGAGGAGATATTGCTACTTCTACTAAAGTTTGGAAGACAACTCACCACCTTGATTCTAAGCCCAATAACTGACCCTTTTTCTGAGCCTGGATGGGATTTGGGGTCTTGAATTTGTAAAGGATTGCTAAAGATGTGGCTTGCAGCTAGAACTTTCCCCAATGAGCTGTGCCAGCCTACTTTGGTAGCTCTCGTTGATTATAACCTAAGGGAGATACAACATGCAAAGCTTGCATATCATGTGCAATTTGAAAGTGAAGATCAACTCTGTGCTGCTAGGTTGGGGGTGGGGAGATTATTCCTGACCTTGCATGAAAGTAGATGGAATTGAGGATATGGCACGATGCCATTTCTTGCTACATGACTCATAAACCTACAACATGCGCAACTTTCTGTCTTTTTGAATTCCAGGAACATCCTGAAGTTTGAAATAGTCTGCATCTCCCACCATCGCCCAGTATGCTTTGATCAAATCTCCATGGGAAAGATAAGCTTTTAGCCAAATCAGTTGGCTACATGCAGCACTGTGCTAAAGGTTTTTTCAAACAATACATATTTCTGCTTAAAAATAAAAACTACATACAGGGAATGACCATTGTGTGTGTGTTCAAAGCACACAGGACTGCATGCATGAGCCATTTTTCGACCTGGAAGAGGGAGGAATGGGGCGGACTTATGCATGCTCTGCTAATGCGCATGGTGACTTGGAATGTGCCAATTTCTTTAGCGTTATTTCTGCTTTTATTTATTTATTGTTGTGGGGAAGTGTAAAACTTCTAGTCTAGCCACAACTCACTGCAGAACACCCTCTTCAAAAAGCAGGTCAGAGACTTCAAAAGGAATAGAGGATAAGTTCAAAGCTGACGGGAGCAAATTCCAAGGTCTTTTAAATGAGGAAGAACTATTCATTACAACTGTCAATTTATTATCTGGACACTTTGAGCATGCCCTAGGATGCCAAGCATCCAAAGAGGAAGTATGCATTCAATGAAAATGAGGAACATTCACTTTCTAATATTACTCTTACAGATTCCACATCCCATGTTATAATCTGCAATGGTTCCTTTCCTACTTTGTTCTTCTTTGCCTGTTTTAGACCTTGAACCGAAGATAAACAAAAATGTGCAGAATTTTGGGTACATAAGTTACAAGCAGCCTCGCATGAGCAAGTATATACATAGTTCAAGGGTTTGTTTCTCTCAGACACAAAAAGAAGAATGTAGGGGAGTTACATTCTTGATGCGTAAGCTTCTTCGACAGGCTGGTTTATAGTTCTTGGGAAGAGCAGACAGGACCGATGCACAGTGGCACCAGAGACAGGGAGAAATGTGGTCCTGGAAGCAAATGTAGGTACAAAGTAGGAATCTGAAACTCGGGCCCTCCAAGGTAGGTTTCTCTGAAACACCGCCTGTTGCATGTGTTAGGCTGCCTTTGTAAGTTGAACCATTACAATCCAGTAGCCCATCTATCTGCCTCTTGCCTTTCCCTTGTAAGCTGACTGAAACACTATCAGCTGCATCCCTGCTGAGCATGCAGCTGTCAGTGGTGACTGTGCGGTGTTGGGGCTGCCACCCCAGATGTTGAATGAGCAGTTCCTAGCTGCATGCCCCGCATCAGAGCATGTTGATGCCACTGGCAACTGGGCTGGACTGGGACTGACTTCCCACTCGCATTGTGCTCACTATGCCCATCTCAGCTGTGGAACTGCAGAGCATACAGCGTCTGGCGATGATTAGGCTTGGCAGGGACTTTCTGCCTGTCTGCACTCCCGGCACATGCAGTCTGAATATTATTACATAGGAATCCAGATGCTAGGAACTAGAGCTCCCGATCGCAGTGGATAAAAAGAAGCCTGATAATTATTTACATTCATGCTTCACAATATTAACATGGGGGAGGGGGAATAGCAACTGCATTTGTATCCTGCTTTCCCCGAGGAACTCAGGGTGGGGTTATCCTAGTTCATGTTCACGACAGCATGCAAAGAGATAATGGCTTGCCCAAGGCCATTTAGTAAATTTAACGGCTGAATAGGAATTTGCACTTGGATCTCCCTGATCCCGGCCTAACGTTCTGCTCATTTCACCTTGCTGGCTGTATCCATCACAATGCTGTATGATCACAGCATCATGGTGACGACAACTGATTGTCCAACAAACCACAGGTTAACCACAAGCTGTCATAGAGATGATGGCTTCTTTCTCCAAAGGTCTGCATGTTTACAAGTCCCCCTTGTCTCATGCTTTCATAGCCTGGTGAGCGTGTAGGTAGACTATGCGGGCCAAACAAACCATGGTTAAGGGAGGATGCTGGGTTCACATATCAAGCCAATGTTAAAACAAACCAAGGTTAATAGGTCAACAAAAAAACATGGCTTCAGATTATAGTTTATTGATAGTAGCAAACACACACAAAACACACCCATAGTTAACATTGACTTCTGGTTGTTGTTTTTCTCTCCTTATTTCCTTTTGACTCCTGGCATTCTTTTTTCTGGACATCATACACAGGTAGATTTATAAATGGATTCTCATGCATAGACCTCATATTATGTGTAGTCATGTAGATCAAGATATAGCCACACATGCCTCACTGAGATAAATGGGATTGTAATACGATTAAGAAGAGTGCAGATTTGCATGGAAATTGTCCTCATTGCAACAGAAGCGTTCTATCTTTCTTTAGAATAAACTGACAAATTATTTCATGCCTTGTAATTGTTTGCACTGCTTTTTTTTTAAAAAAAGAGTTCTCCTTTGAAGGAGTTTGAGGATCTTGTAGCAACTAAATTGGTTTCAACTGATGACATGCAAACTATTTCAAAATCTGCGATGCTTTACACATTAAATCCCTGGCTAAATATATGGACAGAGTTCGTAATTGGAAACACTGAAACCAGATCTGTACATCAACTTCCTAGCTTATACACACTGCTGTTTCTGTTCATATTCACGTACAGAACAGGATGGCAAGAGAGACTGGGACACTGTCTTTCACTCACCTTGTGAACAAACTGCTCCACTCGAGTCTGAAGTCCCCATACTTCAAATTTCACAGTCACCAGTTTGTAGGAACACATGATGGGCTCTTGAGTGTCTCTCCAGCCTTCTTTTAATAGGCCTCTCCCAGTCTTCTCTGATTTGAAGTGTTTAGGGTCCTGCAAAATGGAAAGGAAAGAACTCTAGGAGGTAATGAATCCATGCTGGAAAAGTATCTGTGCTGGGATATTATACAAGATTATTGATAAATGGGATAGAAGAGTAACACACTTCAAAAGGGCTTTGTCCTGCTAGTCACAAGTAACCAGCTTCAGCTGCAGTAATGTAAGCCACGCCGATGCATCAGGAAATAAGTTGCACTAGTTTCCTGTGACCTGAGATATACAAGAAGTGCCCAGTGCCACCGCTGGTCACACTCTGACCTCCTCTTATCATGTCCCAATATGCAACTCAGCTGCTAACTGGTGCAAGACCACTTAAGGTTTGCACATTTCTTTCCACAGAAGTGAAATTAAGTTCTTGAAGCTCTTTGCTGAATATGTGCCCTTAAGTACAGTGGTCCCTTGGTTCTCAAACTTAATCCATTCTGGGAGTCCGTTCGACTCCCGAAACCATTTGAAAGCCAAGGTACGGCTTCCAATTGGCTGCAGAAGCTTCTTGCACTCAAGCGGAAGCGGATGTTCGGCTTTCCGAAAAATGTTCGCAAACAGGAACACTTACTTCCAGGTTTGCGCTGTTCGAGAGCCAATTAGTTTGGCAACGAAGCCATTCGAGAACCAAGGTACCACTGTACAGTAGGCACCCCAACCACATTCACAACAGGTTTGGCTCAATAAACAACACATTGGATCTGATTTTGGTTTGAGTAGGTTTTGGCTTTGCTCCCAATTCATACTTAGGGTGCCTGAATTTTGCTTCCATAGGTCACTGCTGACAAGGAGAGCTAGCACCAGTTCTAAACACCCAGCCAATTGCAAATACAGTGGTACCTCGAGTTAAGTACTTAATTTGTTCCGGAGGTGCGTTCTTAACCTGAAACTGTTCTTAACCTGAAGCACCACTTTAGCTGATGGGGTCTCTCGCTGCCGCCGCGCCACCAGAGCACGATTTCTGTTCTCATCCTGAAGCAAAGTTCTTAACCCGAGGTACTATTTCTGGGTTAGCGGAGTCTGTAACCTGAAGCGTATGTAACCTGAAGCGTATGTAACTCGAGGTACCACTGTATAGACACCCAACAAGTCCCATCAGCAGAAGCCCTGCACAATGACTTCCACTTACCCAACAAGGCTTCTCCCAGTCTCCTCCCTGCAAAATTGGCTCTAGGGGAAGTGAGAAGATCCCCCAGAACAGCACATGGGGGGAGAAGAAGGGGGACTTGTTCTACCTGGTAAGGTGAAATGTTTGCACTGACGGAACAATCAGAAAAGCACAGCGTTGAATTCTGGAAGTCTCTGGGAATGACTTCCAACTTTAATCCTACGTTGGGATTAAATCTAGCATTCGGGAGCTGGAAAACTACAAATAATATACAGGATAAAGTGGGAGACCCATTTATGGAGAATTTATTTATTTATTATATTTATATTTAATTTATATTTATTAATACCTTTCCTGATTGCAGCACTTCTCCTAGTTCCATACTCTTCTGTAACCTGGTGCACATGGCAACACCTTAATCATTTAAATGTATTTAATAAACGACCTGTCCATGTGGCGGCTTGATCTCACCAAAAACCTGGTTTTTTCCCAGTTTGAATTTGATCTCAGCAGTCCACATCTGTGTGCCTTTGAAGTCGACTCCTTTTTCATTCTACTAGGAATGTCACACTTATTAGCCAATTCCTCTCCCCTGCCACTCCCTTCATTTCACAGAACCATAGAATTGTAGAGTTTGAAGGGACCTCGGGGGTACTCTAGTCCAACCTCCTGCAATGCAGGAATCTCAACTAAAGCACCCATCTTACATGGCCATGCAACCTCTGCTTCAAATATCTGGGTATCGTTTTCCAGTCGACCGGGTCCTGGGATGTCCATCAAAAATGTGCCAAAGAAAAAGCAGCTCAAAGTATCAAGATGCTGTCCCGCTTCTTCTACACGAAGGGGGGCAGATACATCCCAGCAGCCCTTGAAGTTTTTCAAGCAAAACCTCTGGCGCAGTTACTGTACGGGGCGCAAATCTGGACGGGGAACCACTGCTCCAGTCTTGAAACTGTCCAGTCCAAATTTCTAAGGCAGATACTCGGCGTCCCCTCCTGTGTTCCAAACGCAGCATTACGACTCGAGGCCTGCCTTCCATCTGTGGAAACTCGGACCTGGCAGAGAACATTCAACTTCTGGCTTCGTCTTAATCTGAGAAAGGGGAAAGTAGGTATACCATGGGCACAGTTTCTTTAAGATAGTCAGGTTGTTTTGTCGTTCAATGTCTTTCAGGCGCTGGCCTATTAGACTCTTTGCTTTAATGAGGCCCATTGATAGTAGGGACTGTGAGTGCAGACCGCATGTAAGGAGTTTTTGATGCACAGTTTTAAACCACTTGCTTTTGTGAGGGTCTTGCATTACTAGCGGCAGTAGACCAGGTGGATTCAGCTAGAGGCGTTTTTAGAGCCTCTCGAATCTACTTACCCGTCCGCCCTGACTATTGTGTGTGGAGACTTCAACGCTCGTATAGGAACAGATGACAACAGTCTATACACTCATTTCAACCAATTTATGGACCCTGAAGAACAGACGGATATTGGCGCGACACGACTGTCCAAAGATAGTAGAAGTAATTTCCCAGGTCTCTGCTTAGTGCAGGCTGCTAGACGGAGGGAACTGCTGATATTAAACGGCAATATAGAGGGGGACCGCCCCGGGGAATATACCCATTTCTCCAAGGCTGGGGGAAGTGTTATAGATTATATCTTAATCTCAAGATTTGCTCACAGCTTTGTAAGGAAGTTCCAAGTGGGCCACAATACTCTGAGTGATCACCTACCTCTAATTCTAGAGCTTGCAGGTCGGCCTTTTGACTATTCTATTGCCGAGCCACAATATATACCTTCTGTAAATTTGGATATACCTGCCCCCAAAAGACTCAAATGGTCCCCAATATTGAATGAAAACCTAACCCTCCTTCTTCAGTCAGTGGAGTTAAAGCTTATTCGCTCCGCTATTGTATCAGGCAATTCAGTAGCTGCGATTATGGAACGCTTTAAATTACTTTTGGAAAGATTGAAACCCCATTTAACAACAGTGATACATAGCTCCGCTACAAAGAGGGCAAAGGACGGAGCTAGCTGGTTTGACCTGGAGTGCAGGCAAACAAGGAGACAAATGAGAACAGCCTACCGGAGATACAGGAAATCAGGGACTGCCCTCCTACTTAATGCTTATATCTATCTGAGACGGTCGTACAAACAATTACTAAGGAGAAAGAAACTGGAAGCTGAAAGAGCCGCATGGCACAGGTTGGTTAAGGCATCGCACGAGAAAGATACTACTTGCTTTTGGCGAACCATATCTGGTCTACTGGACCAGGAGCGTACTAATTCCATCTGTACAGTGGAACCAATGGAGTGGTTGCGCCATTTTCAATCTTTGTTCTATGACCAGGAAGCCCAACATTACAAACTATGCATTCAATTGGAGGACCTACCTCATTGGCCAACAGTAACTGCGAAGGAAGTTGAGAATTTAATCGCACAATTAAAGAACAACAAGGCCCCAGGGAATGATTACATCCCTGCCGAACTTCTGAAGTCCAACATTGGCTGGTGGGCCCCCCTGCTGGCGTCTTTATTTTCTTGGATCGACTCAACGGGTTTACTCCCAGATGGTTGGACTGAGGCAATAATTATCCCAATCTATAAAAAAGGACCCATGACAGACCCGGCGAGTTATAGACCAATCAGCCTTCTGCCTATACCCAGCAAACTATATGCCAAACATCTTTATACCAAGCTAACTAGCTGGCTGGAAACTGAAGCTATTCTAGCGGAAGAGCAAGCGGGTTTCAGGCAAGGCAGATCCACCATAGACCATTGCTTCACCCTAGCCTATTTAATTGACAAATATGCCAAAAAACCCCGTGGGGTGTTATATGCAGCTTTTATCGATCTAAAGGCTGCTTTCGATTCAATTCCACGTGTAAGACTCTGGGATAAATTGAGCACCTCAAGCATAGACAAAAGACTATTATTTCTGATCAGCTGTTTATACAAAGACACGGTGCTGCATGTAAGAACTTCGTTAAATGGCCATCTTATAGGACCAGTTCCTGTCAGTAAGGGGGTCAAGCAAGGTTGCATCCGGGCCCCAGTTCTATTCAACATCTACATCAATGATATGGTTAACTGTTTGTCATCTCCGGACTTCCACGCCCCCAAACTGGCTGACAAAGCAATATCAGTGCTTTTGTACGCTGACGATGCGATACTCCTATCTCGAACAAGAATAGGCTTAAATAGGCTCATAGGTGAATTCTCAGCATACTGTAGGAGAGAGCAACTTGCAATAAACTATCAGAAAACCAAAATTATGGTTTTTGCAAGGAAACACAGACAGTACAGCTGGAGGATGGATAACCAGACAATTGAACAAGTCAAAGCCTTCAAATATCTGGGTATCGTTTTCCAGTCGACCGGGTCCTGGGATGTCCATCAAAAATGTGCCAAAGAAAAAGCAGCTCAAAGTATCAAGATGCTGTCCCGCTTCTTCTACACGAAGGGGGGCAGATACATCCCAGCAGCCCTTGAAGTTTTTCAAGCAAAACCTCTGGCGCAGTTACTGTACGGGGCGCAAATCTGGACGGGGAACCACTGCTCCAGTCTTGAAACTGTCCAGTCCAAATTTCTAAGGCAGATACTCGGCGTCCCCTCCTGTGTTCCAAACGCAGCATTACGACTCGAGGCCTGCCTTCCATCTGTGGAAACTCGGACCTGGCAGAGAACATTCAACTTCTGGCTTCGTCTTAATCTGAATCCACCTGGTCTACTGCCGCTAGTAATGCAAGACCCTCACAAAAGCAAGTGGTTTAAAACTGTGCATCAAAAACTCCTTACATGCGGTCTGCACTCACAGTCCCTACTATCAATGGGCCTCATTAAAGCAAAGAGTCTAATAGGCCAGCGCCTGAAAGACATTGAACGACAAAACAACCTGACTATCTTAAAGAAAC